CGTACTTTAAAACCCTAAATCTATTAAAAGGTTAGATATAAATGGGGGACTTAAGTAAAGATCGAATCAGCCGAATTGCGGATTATCGATTATCGTTATCCCTTATTGAAAATATCACACAGAGGTTACGATATTACTTTAATAGGAACTATTGATTTTAACAAAGCTTGGCATCTTACAGTGGGCTCATTCTTCTAAAATGAGATCATCGCGTGACCCTTATTAATATCAAATACGAAAATTGTTCCCATAGGAAATAATTCAAGAATAAAATACTCTTTTAATAAATAAAAAAATTTCTTTTGAATATTTACAGTTCTTATAAAATTTGATAGATTAACAATTACACAATTACTATCATTCAGTCGCAAAAATTATAGATATTCCTAAAAAAAAACGAAGTGTTATTACATAATGTGTGACAACAATAAGCATCTTATTGAAATTCTTGAAGGTTTGGCTGGATTGGAAAGCAATGTTAAAAAGGCACAACATGTTCTTTTAGAACGTTGCCTTAACGCATCATTTCAAGAACTTATGGGATTTTTTGATGAGCTCTTAAGTGTCTTATGCCAATATCCTGATATTTACATTCCAACTTTAAAGACTTACCTTTCATATCTTTATGGAAAGTATTCATGTAATAGCGATAGTAGGATTTCAAATTTTACCTCAATGCTGATCACTATTGTCATGGTAGGCAATCTACGCTATTCAGATATTCTACAGTTCAGAAAACTTTTTCATCTCAGCGTCGAGCTCCTTTGGAAGGTTTCGAATAATAAGCAAACAATCCGGACGACTGAACGTGTCTTCGATGAGATTTTGGATGCGCATGGGGTTTTTAGTATTTGGATTTCAGACAAATCTGGTTGTCGCTGCATAAAGCGAATTTTGTTTGAATTCAATATGATAGAAATGATCGATCCTAATAAGGCACTGAGAGCAGTAGATATGGTTGCATCTCTCGTGGAAAATTGTTCAGATCACATTAATGGCATATCACAACTACCAGAAAAGCTTTCTGAATATAAGGCTTGCACGGCATTGCTGGAAACACTAACAAGTTATCAGGATGCTCAAAATTTAAATAGGGGAAATAGCATCTCCAAGCCTATGATAATAGTTAAAAGCTTACCTC